GGCGCCGCGGCTCACTAGGCTAATCCTCCGCCTTGCGGTGCCGGCACACCAGGTTCTAGTCCCTGTTGGGGCACCGGATTCTGTCCTGGTTGCCCCTCTTCCAGGCCAGCTCTCTGCTGTGGCCAGGGAAGTGCAGTGGAGGATGGCCCAAGTGCTTGGGCCCTGCACCCCATGGGAGACCAGGATAAGCACCTGGCTCCTGCCATCAGATCAGCGCGGTGTGCCGGCTGCAGTGCGGCGGCCGTTGGAGGGTGAACCAATGGCAAAGGAAGACCTTTCTCTCTGTCTCTTTCTCCCACTGTCCACCCTGCCTGTCAAAAATAAATAAATAAAACATTTAAGGTAATAAACAAGAAAAGGATGCCTGTATTACTTGGACTTCTCAAACACATTAACAGATAACTGACCAGTGCTGTAAGACAAACAAAAAGAGATGAGAGACACAACTTATTATTTCCAAGTGAATTCATTTGTGTATAAAACAAAAGAGAAATAGCAGAATCTAGGAGCAGTTTGAGAGTTCAGCTCTGTTGCCAGCTAGAAGAGTAGCATTCAAAAATCAATAGCCTTCTTCTGTATCAGGAGTAACCAATTACAAAGTATGATAATAAGATACCACTTATAGTGGTGACATCAACTAAAAGCTATCTAGGAATAAATTTAAGGCAGAATACATAAAACGTATGAGGGAAAATTAAAGCTCTATTATAAGAGTTTTATTGTGGTATTAAAGATCATAAATGCTGGGTTCATAAATGCTTCATTGAATATTGTGAAGATGTCACATTAAAATTTAAATTCAATCAGCATCTAAGCAAGAATACTTGTGGAAGGAGCAGAGTTTAATTTAAAATTTATATGAAAGAATAAGAAAAAAATGTTTACTGAATAAGGCATTAACAATAGATAGCAGGAGTCTGTTAACTACAGCCCACAAGCTAAATCCAGCCCACTGCCATTGTGTAAATAAAGATTTTTAGGATGTAGCCATGCCCATTCACTTATAGTGTATGGCTACCTTCATGCTCTGATGACAGAGTAGAGTATTCACCGTAGAGACGCTGTGCCCTGGAATATCTGGCCCTTTCAGAAAAAAAAAATGAGATTTTGTAATTAGCATTTATTGTGGCACCAGAATAGCAGAGTCCAGACTGACTGTGCGTATATGCAAGTTGGTATAACTACCCCCAGGAATCAGTACTAGGAAATTTGGTTTAAAAAGAAAAATGAAGCTATTTTTACACTTAATAAAGCTTCAAGTAGAATAAGTACCCAGGTACTACAAGGTGATAGAATACCATATAGGGGGCTGGCACTGTGGCACAGCGGGTTAACGCATGGCTGGAAGTGCCGGCATCCCATATCGGTGCCGGTTCTAATCCTGGCTGCTCCACTTCTGATCCAGCTCTCTGCTGTGGCCTGGAAAAGCAGAAGAAAATGACCCAAGTCCCTGGGACCCTGCACCTGCGTGGGAGACCCAGAAGAAGTTCATAGCTCCTGGCTTAGGATCAGCACAGCTCCAGCTATTTTGGCCAGTTGGGGAGTGAACTGTTGGATGAAAGATCTCTCTCTCTCTACTTCTCTCTCTGTGTAGCTCTGACTTTCAAATAAATAAATAAACCTTTAAAAACAAAGAATACCATATACGACTTGATTTTTGCAACCTTATGGAAGATGATTTATTATATAAGATTAACAGAACACAAACTATAATGGATAATTGATGAATTCGAATACACCAAGCTGAAGGCTTTTTTTCAATGGAGGGAACAGTAGCTTAATAGATGGTAAAAATGACTGCCATGTTTAATAGGTCATAATCAATATTTAGGGTATGCATGGAATACTCGGGTTTGATCATTGGTTCTAAGTTACCTGGACAGCTTCTAAGTACCCAGATTGTTGGGTCCCAGTTTCCAGTTCAGTAGGTCTGGGTGAGCTTGGGAATTTACATTTCTAGTAAATTTATAATTGACGTTGATAATACTTGTCAAGGAGCCACATCTCGGAGAATCCTTGAGGTAGATGATTTTTGACATTTGTACCATCAAGGCAATCTTTCCCATCCTATTGCTTTAGCATGTGACATGTGTCAAGTTCTGGCTAAGTGGGTTTATCTGCAGATGTCATTTGCATAGTTTTATGTGTTTTGCAGCGCCAAGAACATCTAAATCATTGAGAGTGCATTCTTGAGTCTTTTTTTTTAAGAAAACTACTTAATAAATATGAATTATAAGATAGTTGAACAGTTGGTCTATGTTTATCACATGAGTATTGAAGTATTCCTGGGATACAAAAATGAAGTTTTTTCTCTGGAGGTATGTGGTGTTTTTAGTCATTCACAAAATAACTTTGCCATGTTCAGGTATCTACCAGATGGAAAAGCATTCTTTGATATTGGGTACCTTTAGCTCACTCTAGCTACCAAGTATAAAATCCCACTTCAATCCCCAAATTCTCTGTAATTATCCTTCCTCTGAAAGGGGCTGTGTTTACCTTATTGGTTCCATGTCAGCTAGGTATTGGTTTTGTCTATAATTTGTCCCTTTTCTCTTATTTTTCATATTTAATTTTGGTAATTTTATTAGAATAGTTGTTGGAGAGCTCAGATGATTTTGTAATTGTAGGCAAGGTCAGACAATGTTTGGACATGTTCTAAATTGCTGTTATGTATACAAAGATTAAAACCATTTGACAGAAGTGTTGAAGATTTCAGAGATTTGTAGTCCATACTGAAGAATGAAAATTTTCAGCTTTGCACAGATCATGAAAAATAGGGGTTAAAATAAGCACCTGACAAATGTGGGATTGTGGGTTTGAGTTAAGGTGGCAAACTAAAAAAAAAAAAAAAAAAAATGACCTAAATGAAAGATCTCTGCGAGTGAGATCCCAGTGGAAAGAACAGGTCATTAAAGAAGGAGGTACCTTTCTCTGAAGGGAGGAGAGAACTTCCACTTTGACTACGACCTTGTCTAAATATGATCAGAGTCGGTAAACTCAAAAGGCTTCCATAGCCTTGGCAACTCCTGACAAGAGCCTAGGGTGATTACTGATGCCATAAACAAGAGTGTCAATTTGTTAAGTCAACAACAGGAGTCACTGTGCACTTACTCCTCATGTCGGATCTCTGTCCTTAATGTGCTGTACATTGTGATTTAATGCTATAACTAGTACTCAAACAGTATTTTTCACTTTGTGTTTCTGTGTGGGTGCAAACTTGAAATCTTAATGCAGGCTAAACTGATCTTCTGTATTTAAAGAGAATTGAAAATGAATCTTGATGTGAATGGAAGGGGAGAGGGTGTGGGAAAGGGGAGGGTTGCGGGTGGGAGGGAAGTTATTGGGGGGGGAGGAAGACATTGTAATCCATAAGCTGTACTTTGGAAATTTATATTCATTAAATTTATATTTATTAAAAAAAAGGTGGCAAACTAAAGTGCTGAAGAATGTAACAGGAAAGATTGTTCAGTTTTTGTCGCTCCCCCTCTTCGTGGAGGAACGACACAGGACCCTGCGCTGTTCTTTCGTCTGCTCGGCCCTCCCCGGGTTTGCTGCTGGTTCTTCCCGGGTTGGCTACTATCCCTTCCACCTCCGTGGAAGGGCAGTTCCCCCTGGCCGCTTTCCCCACTTCCGCAGGGGAGCGGCACACCGCCGCCGGTTCTCTCGGGGGCTGCACAGGTGTTCCCTCAGATGTTCCCCTTAGATGTTCCCGGTGCATGCCGTCTCTCTCCTCCTTTATAGTCCTCCTCCGCCAATCCTAACTTGGCTGCCCACACGCCGAGTACGCTGCTCTCCAATCAGGAGCAAGTCCTACAGTTTATTGGTTGAACTGGAGGCAGCTGTGCGGAAGCTGTTTACTTCTCTCCCAGCGCCATATTGTGGGAGAGCAGATGCATAGAATAAGTCTTAATTCCAGTAACTCAGTCCAGTCCGGGCTGCTCCCCACAGTTTTATTTATTTATTTATATATTTATTTGAGAAACAGAGAGCTCCTCTCTATTGGTTGCATCTCCAGTACTCACAGATGTGTAGTATTTGACCAACTCAAACCTGGGAGCCAAGAACTGAATTCAGGTCTCCCCTGTGGGTGGCAGGAAACCAATTACTTAGGCTATCATCAGTGCTTTCAAAGGTCTGCGTTAGTAGGAAGCCTGAGTCAAGAGCCAGAGATGGAGCTTGAACCCAGACACTCCAATATGGGATCTGAGGATCTTAACTGGAGTCTTTACTAGGCCAAATGCTTGCTCCAGGAAGATGGCTTTTGTTGCGCACATGCACGCTTCTGCTTATAAACAAACTCAGCTAAAAGCAGTATACGTAGGAAGAATTAAATATTTAAGAAAGGCATATCCAGAATACATCTTAGTGCACTTGATGGGGAACAGTTTATTTTCACTTCATATGAGAGGAAAACAGACAGACAAGGAGAGATCTTCCATCTTCACATTCACTCCCCAAATGCCAATGATAGTCCAGCTAGGCTAGGCCAAAGCCAAGAGCCTGGAAGTGAGTTAGGTGGTAGGGACCCAAGTACTGAAGCCATCACCTGCTGCCTCTCAGGGTGTGGATGAACAGGAAGCTGGAAGTAGGCATCTTAAGTGGTGTCTTAATTGCTGAGCCAAGTGTTAGTGGATGGGGAACAGTTTAAATGGCATCTTCTTGGAAACTAAGAATCTGTAATGATGGCATTTGCTTTCTTCATGGAGTTTTAAAAAAATTTTAGAGACTTAGAGACCGAGGGCTCCTGCCTGCTGGTTCACTCTCCAAATGCCTGAAACAGCTGGGCCAGGGATCCACCTGCTTGAACAATCATGTGTTCACTCCTGTGGTGTGCTTTAGTAGGAAACTCTAGTCAGAAGCAGAGCCAGCATTTGGACACAGGTCCTCTGGTAGGCCCCAACTGAAGGCCTAACCACATGGTTAAATGCCCACCCGTGAACTGAGTTTCTTACTTGTATTTGATAAAAATCCATTTCCTTAAAACTGTCCTTGCTTTTCAGATTGCATCCTGAGAAAATGTCATTCCGATTCGGTCAGCATCTCATCAAGCCCTCCGTGGTGTTTCTCAAAACAGAATTGTCCTTTGCTCTTGTGAACAGAAAACCTGTGGTACCAGGACGTATCCTTTTCTTTAAGAGAGGAAAATTAAATAACCTTTGAATCCACGAAATGAACACAGGGTCGGCCTCAAATGTGTGTCCACAAAGGTAAGCAAGGAATCCACCTCTCTCCCACCTTGGTGGAAAGCAGGTAAGGTAGTACTCAAATTTATTCTGAATCCAGTTGGTGGCACCAGTAATATGCTTGATCAATGTTGCAGAACTTCTGAAAGGTTGCTTAGCAACCACGGGTTTGGAGGTGAATTTTTGCTTGAACTTTTCACTACTGTAGCTGTGTAAATAAATAGGGGCTTCAAAAACGGGCCCCATGAATATTGTGGACATGGTTTCAGTTTGTCCATTGTTTGTTACTGATACCTTGAGTGGAGGGAGGGGCATTTATAATTGGTTTTGTCTTTTTTACTTCTTAGAGATCATTCAGGTTAAAGGGTTTTAATTCAAATATGTCAGTATATTTACCAAAATGGCTTTTATCTTGTTTGGATCTAAAATAGCATTTTCTCCTGGGGAGGTGGGGTAGGAAATCTTAGCTTCTGGATTCTTGCACAGTATCATTGGTGGTAAAATTGTTAAACTTTGATCTGACCATTGAATTGTGGTCTTTCTCCATGTAGACTTGAGTAGGAACTTTATTTTTTGTGTGGTTAGGGGGTAGCAGGAATTTGTGTAATGCTCACTCATGATGGTGTGTGTGTGTATAAACTTGGAACAGACTCTTCAGAATTTATTTTTGTTTCTCCCCTAACAAGAGGGCAACAAAAGTAAGATTTTGTGTTTTAAGATTATACATGTTTTCCACACTGAGACATGCTTTTGCTTTGTAACCAATTTCTTAGTAATTCTGAATGTACAAATATGCCAAGATGCTTTTTTGAAGTAAGTTCTATTTTTGCAAGGTGCTTGAGAACTTTATGAATAATTTTTCTAGCCACATAACTACTGTATTTTGGAAAAAAAATCCGAGTAAGAAAAACATGAACCAGAATATGATACTGATTATATGATAGATGCTTAAATTCCTTGAATACAAATTGTAGCTAAATAAGTTTTGTTAAATTTACAGACTCACAAGCCATAAACTGGCAAATAAAGTTATATAAAAATCTTTGTTCATATTATTTCAAAACCTTCTTTAGAAAAAAGTGAGTCAAAATAATTAATATTAGGAAACTCAAATCCTTCTGTTTAAATGAGGTTAAAAAAGAATGATTTAGAAGGGATCCATTAGATGTAACAATGATTAGGTGTATCAATTTTGTATTGAATTATTTGAAAAAGACCTTGAACTTCATAGAATAACAGGAACATTGTATGTTTTGAATTGATTTTGTTCCAAGTTTGTTATGATCTTTCTTTTGGGAGGTTTCTCTATTTGAAGTAACATGTAAATTCTATTGTCAGAGATTATAGTTTAAATGCCATACTTCTGTAGGTGACACTTTTGATATCGGTAATGACCCCCTGAAATCTATCCAAAAATGTGGCCCTTAAAGTTCCCCAGAAGTGCCATCTGGGCTGCCACATATGTTACCGGAATTTGGGGTGCCATATGATAATACTATATGCTTATTACTAAATCCCCAATATTAATAAGCCCAAGAGGGTTCTTGTCTAATATTTAGAGAAGGATTCTAAACACCAGCATCAATAAACGAGGCAGCATGGGACATTTTAAGCCTTTATTTAGTGAGAAAGATGCATAGGAGAGTGAGAGCTTTATTTAAGAGAGAGGGGTAAATATGGGTTCATACCGAGCACCAGGAACCAGCCACATGGAGGATCATCTAGGCCAGGAAGCCTCGGGCGTGTGGCCCAAAGGCCTTGTGCCCTGGAGGCGAGGCGCAGGGCTACAGCCCCCCTCTCCCCCCAAGAGGCTAGGGAAGAAGAGCAGGGCGGACACACCATGTTGTCCCAGGCTTTAAACCCACTTCCAAAGAGGTGTGGTTAATTAACCTGATTGGCTGGTGGGCACCCAGGTGTGGTCAGGTAGGGGCATGAGGTCACACAGGGGCATGGCGAAGGCATGGTCTTCCAGCTCACAAACCTAATCAATTTTAACCTATATGCCTGTCTACTTCATTTTTAATTGATTTTAAGTGAAGAACTAAGGGAAACAGGGAAGACAATTTGAGTTTAGAACAACAAAAAAAATTGTGATATCTCGGTTGAGGAACTAAGGTTGTAGAGATACCCTGCTTTTTAAATGGTTAATAATGGAATGAATTTGGCTTTATTATTTTGTTGTTGGTGCTGTCTTGATAGTAATGATCTTACTATTTAATGATTATGTAAACCAACTCTGAGCGTGAGGTGTAAGACCTAGAGAATACACAGGTTTGAACTCAAGACAGGTAGAAATGTCTGTATGTAGGACAATACCTACCATGAATAATGAGCAGTGAATGGGAAATTGGGTGTTTGCTAAGGCGGGGATGAGTCCAGATCAGTTACCATATCTTGGAGTAAATGCCAAGAATGTGGAGACCGTTTGTCTAATATGAGCACTCCTCAATTTGGAAGGTAGTAAGAAGGACCTGGCTTTTCCCAAGGCCAAGAACAATGAGAATCAGAACGTTATTGTCATCAGTACACTCCGTAAGGTGAACTAACATTTCCAGGGTTTAGAATGGTCTCAGGGCCAGTAGATAATGTATTCAGACAATCTTTTTTTGATGTGATGATTGTGTAACTTTTTATTTTACTTTGCCTTTTGAAACTCTGTTAGCTTACACCTGTGAGAAGCAGCTTACTAAGGTATTCATTTGCTTGCACAAAGCTGTAGTCTTTTGTCCTGAGATTTGGGAATTCAAACTGCTCTGCCCACTAACATTTCATAAAATAAGCAGTGGGATGTCTGGAGTGGGCTTTGATCTGCCGCCCAGCATTCTCTCCTGCTTGTCCCACTGCAGCCTTTTGCAGCAGGTCGTCTAGCATCTCGCATCCTCCCTGCATCTGGGTTTCCCCAGCTCAGCCGGGGCCTGAGTCTAAACCACAGCTCTTCTGATCTGTGGCTGACACATCACTAATGTATCTAGTTTTTGAGGATAAAGTCCAAATGCTTTGGCATACTTGGTAAAGGCGGGGAAATTATTATTACCTCGGTTCTTTGTCTCACATAGAAGAAGAATTTGCAAGCACACAAGCAGAGGGATTTCCAAAGCAAGATTGATTAATAAAGACCTCCAGCAGAAGTGGCAAGAAGCAGGGCTTCTAAGAGAGGAAAAAAACCAAAGAACCCGGTGGCACTGGGGTTTTTAAGTATGATTTTGGGGATGAGACTGTCAGTAAGGTGGGGACAAACCCAACAGAAGACCTGATTTACAATTCTTGATCCTGTCTGGCTTGCTCAAGATAAAACAAAAAAACCATCCAGGAGAGTGGGATAGGTAACTTGCTTTCACAAAACACAGTGAGCTCAGCAGGATGAAATCACTACTCCCTTGTTATTCATTCGCATGGTAAATTTGGAAGCTCCCAAGGAGTGGGCAGGCTGGTACTTCTGACCATGTTAAGGATAACTTTGGAGGAAAGCAAGCATTCTACACAACAAATTTCCACTGGGACCACCCTGACTATTAACCCATCTGACTCCTTACACCATCATTCCCTTTCTCTTGAGGTTATCCCGGTCATTTTCATTTTAATTAAAATTATTTGATAATTGCCCCACTGTCTTAGGAAAAACATCTTCTCCCCTCATTGTCACACTTGGATTGTTACTCACCTATGGATGCATTCAACCTTTTCTTGGTTGAGTTCACATTGGATTCCAGGCATGATGCTCCACTGGGCTCCCTGCCTGCCTTGTGTCAGGATTAGGTGCATTTATTTGTGTTAGGCTTTTCCCCTGAATCGCTCTTTCCTGCCTGCAGGACCTATCCTTGCAACAACTTCTTCTTCTTCTTTTTATTTTTTTATTTATTTTTTGCCTCCAAAGGTACTATCTTGCCTGAATTGAAAGTGAAACTATACATCATGGGTGTAGGTATTGTTCAAGGTAATAGAATGGGGGCCAACTGGGTGGGCTGAAACCCTACCTTCTCCATATTCCCATCCTCAAAGCCAAGTCTTGTCACCATTTCCCTCTACATGTTTTAGGGCCATGCCCACTTCTCCTTCTTGCTTTGCCAGTTAGAATTCTGTGGACAGTTGTATGTTTTGCAGGTAGTGAGTTAAGTTAAAAAGCAGTGACTGCATTTGGAGGCAGATGGAAAACACTCCATTTCGTTCTGTGTGTTAATTTGTCAATGGAGGAGACTGTGTTCTCAGGGTGGCGTGTTGGTTCCTTGATGTAAAATGGGGCATTTTATGTTGTGTTTTTGATGTGTTCTTCTAAGCGGCGGTTTTCAGGTAGCCTTTGGGAAGTGGTGCCATTCATGAGAGATTTGTAAATGTGATCTTGGAACCTGTGTCCGCTCTCACATTTTGCTGTCCCCCTTCAACCTTTTTTTTTTCCGGCTTGGCTCACTGAGTTTTTCATAGCTTTCACAGGAGGAAAAGATCTGTCAGATCAGAGGCTGAAGATGGGCTTTTGAAGCCCGACTGTTGGCTTCATCCTCAAAAGAGCCTCTTCAGGCCTTCCTTGTCCTCACCTAAAGCAAACACTTCTCTTCCTTGCCGATGGTGTTTAAAGCCCGTGCAACGGCTTTGGCCTGTGCAGTGCCACACTCAAGAAGAATGTGCCGCAATGTCTTTAATCCATTAATTTCATGTTACTAGAAACGGCCTTTTAGACTTCTTTGGTGAGAGAGCAGAATCACGTTGCAGAGCACATTTTCAGTTTCTGCCACGAATGTGTAATTCACCGGCCTCATTCCTGCCCAACTATTAGTCGCGGCTTCAGTAAACTTGAACTGTAAGATCGTCACAAAACACACCAGACACCAGAGTAAGGGAAAGGGTTTTTAGGGGAAAATCCAGCAGACTGGAGGGAAGGGGCAAGGAAGGAAAAAGGGAGAAGGAGAGTGTGACAGAGAGAAGAGAGGAGCTAGTGAGGAGA